GTTCTGCTTTCTGCTCCCTGGCCTGTGTTCCCTGCCTGACATGCTGCTATGATTTCTGCTTTCTACCCTGTGCTCCCTGCCCAATAGTGCTTTTGCCTTCCTGCCCTATCTGCCACTGTGCTGCCTGTCACCTCCCAAATCTGTTTGCCTGACACACACACAGGCTGTCCAATACCACTTGTAGTACCCATGCCATGGGCTGATTACCCCAATCTAAAAGATATACTCAACATATTTTCCACCTCACCTGTATCATAGCATATAGAAATCACATGCAAGTGTGAAAAATGTCTGTTATGTGGAAGGGCAGTCAGCTCAAGGTGTGACCTTGCAGACTGAAAGCAGCAATAAGCTGGTAGGGGGACCCTCTGTGGACAGAGGATTCTCTCCTTTAGAACTCACCTGACTTGTCTGATAAAATTAAAATCCAAGCCCACTACCAAGTTCCCTTTGTGCTGCAAGGATGACACTGAAAAAGGCCCCAGTTATTCTGATCCTATTCACATTTAACAATGCTAATTAGCTCCTGGACTATGAAATAATACTCTGGTACAGAGTTTCAGCAGGCATTGATTTGCTGATGCATGTGCACAGAGATGACAAACCACTCAATGCCTGCAATTAAGCCATTTACAGTAAGAATTGACTGAGTGTAATTCTTACCTCCATTTTCTGATTTCTGAGAGATATCAGGGATCTTCCACAATATTCTTTGCTGTTCAGTATTCCTAAAAATAAAGGGACAGAAATGCATATGTAGGAGACAAGGGGGTAGTGGAGGAGTCCTGAATAGTGACAGGTATGTGAAATAAGGAAACTCAGAAGCGTAATGGGCAGTTTCTGCTCTCTGGGTGGCAGCAGTGGATGTGACCGTTGTGGTGGCTGGGCTGGTGTCAGCAGCCCTAGCAGCCATCATTTTTGCAGTCCCCCAAAACTCAGTACCTGGGGCCAGTGTCCTGCTTGCCCAACCCTTGTTGTGCTACTAAGAAACCTTCTAATTCAGTCTCCTGAGCTTGTACCTCACAAATTTTGCTCTGCTTTTGAAACTGTAGTGAACTCAGCATCTCTGGCACTCATATGTTACCTGTGGAATTCATGGTGAATTCATCCAAATAATTAAATTAAAATTTAGTATAAAATTAAAATACTAACAACAAACCAGTGGTGTGGGACAGCAGATGGGGACCAGATTCTCTAGAGTTTTGAGCTGTGTTCCCAGCTAGGTCAATGCTTTGCTCTGTGATGCCAAGCAAATCAAAGTCTCTGCACCTGATTTCCCAGCTATAACAGTACCTGCTTGTGAATGAGAAATGCTGTCAAATCTATGGATGAATATCAATGCCAAAGCACTGGTATGAGGACTACAGTGTAACTGTGTGAGACTGGCACTGCTTCTCAGGGTATCCCATGTGAACGATGGCTATGGAGAGAGTGCCATGGCCCCTTCTCCACTGTTTACTTAAACAGCCCCAGTTAAAGTTACTAACACAGCACCTAACACAAGGGTCTGAGCTGGGGAAGACAGCAGTTCTGTACTGAAAGGCAGTAGTTTTTGTGGGTACAGCACAGGGCTGAGAAACTCAGGGGACCAGGGTGCAACTCTCAGCTCTGCCACTGACCTGCTCTCACGCATTACTTTCCCATCCTGTGCCTCAGTTTCCTAGCACATGTGGGCTTAGAACAGGATGCTCATTGTGACAACAACCTGAAAAATCAGAGTGGTGTTTCACATCTTGTCTTGCTGTGAA